TACCATTTTTATCCTCACTTCAGTGAGGATTGTATTCAAGCCATAAAGAACAGCTTAAATGTTCTGCCTACAAAAAAATTGTGTTTTTCCTCCCCACTTCAAGTGAACATTTTTATTTTATTGCTTTCCTCTTCCCCATATATTCCAAAGCTATAACAGCTTGTTTCACAGCCTAAAATTCAGACCAACACTTCTGCTAGCAATGAGAACATGAAAACTGTTGTCCGAGTATCTTGTTCTCCCCTTTTCAGCAATAGTGTAGCCAGAAAACGACCACATATTATACAAAGAAGCAAACACAGCAGAGCAAGAAGATCCTCTTCTTCTTAGGAGCCTTCCAGTTAATACAATTTCACATTTCAGTTAAGAGCAAAGAAACACACTTTAAAGACAACATTACAGTTGCTACGTAAAGGCTGAAAAGTTTGGACACAGCTGTGTGGTCTGTTCCAACAGCTCTGTTCACACTGCATATGCCTTAGAACATGACTACATGTTGCTATTTCCATCACCCCCAACAGGCCATGACTCATTCAATGCATAAGATGGACCTGAAGCATCGTATCCTTTGCTACACAGACAGAAGAGAGGCTGAAAACAAGACTGAAGTTGTAGAAAGAAAACAGTCTTAAAACTAATGTAACCAAAAAAATAACTGCTGTGCAAAACAGTGTTTTTATTTCTGTCTCTGCCACAAAAATTCTGTTAGATGCCAGGAAGTCACCTGAACCAACCTCTCTTATGGTATCTTTTCTGGATGCCCAGTCTATATAGGGCTGATTCACAAAAGTCTCCAATGTTCACAGATGCAGAGGGAGACTGTGGAAGCTGCACTTTAAACTGCTAAAATGACATGCAGTATCCTGAGTTACCTGAAGAATCACATTATAGAAGCATGATGGATTTGTGTTTCTCCATCCGTAAAGTGCAGATAACAGCTGCACAACATCCTGGTGGCCAAATTGGAAAAATACAGATTTGATGGATGGACCACCAGCTGGATAAGGAACCCTAACCCATCCAGTACCTGAAGGGGGCTTACAGGAAAGACGGGGAGGGGCTTTTTAAAAGGGCACATAGCAACAGGACGAGGGGTAATGGATTTAAACTGGAAGACGGCAGATTTAGACTAGATATTAGGAGGAAATTCTTTACTGTGAGGGTGGTGAGGCACTGGAACAGGTTGCCCAGGGAAGTTGTGGATGCCCCATCCCTGGAGGTCTTCAAGGCCAGGCTGGATGAGGCTTTGAGCAACCTGGGCTGGTGGGAGGGGTCCCTGCCCATAGCAGGATTGTTGGAACTCGATGATCTCTATGGTCCCTTCCAACCCAAACCATTCTATGATTCTATGATCTTTCTTCTTACACAGGTGTGATAAAAAGAGAACAAAAATTCAGACACTCTCCTATTATACAGAAGCAAAAACCCAGGGAGAAATTCCGATTTCTGACTTCAAAGAAAGGTTCAAGAGTGAGCATTAGGACATATATCTAAGGAGGAGAAAACAAAAGCAGCAAAAAGCTGCTCATTAAGTGCATATACTATGCTCTACGTTCACTAGTAAAGCAAGGATTCTAGGGAGGGAAAAAAAACAGTAAGTGATCACATAATTAATGACTTCAGGATAACACAGATGTTCTTCCACATGTGGAAGAACAACATAGTCTTATGTACTCGGGAAGTAAGAATTTGAAGTACAAAAAGTTATCCATATTTTTAGATGTGCCTCTAAATAAACACACAAGTAGAAAAAGCTATCTGAAGTCTGTCACAACTTCACAAAAAGCTGATTCCCTCTTACAGTTTATGGTGGGAACAGAGACATACCATCACAATTTCCTGCAAAGCAAATCAAGGAGTTACAAAACAGGAAGGAAAATATATCCAGGATCTTTGAATAAATGCATTAGAAAACTAATTAGTGTTTATTAATAAATCTGAGGAGAAAGAGGCGATTAAGAAGTGACTCAAAAAAGCCAACTTTAACTTGGTTTTACAAAAGAAAAAAGATAATACCTGCAGCTAACTAAGCAAGATGAATGATCTGAAAAAATGTACACATACATTGCTAAACTGAAAAGAACTAATTTTTTGAACGTTTTGACCACTTACAACGCAATCCCTCTAAACTTTGTGCTCAACTAGATTATTAAAAGGTAATGACATAAAGGCATTATCGTATCATCAACTACCTTTGTGAAACAGAAAAACAGCAAAACCAATGTCTGCAATAATTACTTTTACTTTTATAAGCACCTGACTTCTATAAGTACCCTTTCTATTACCATTAAAATATTATTTAAAAAACCCAAAGAGGAGCATTTTCAAGAACTAGAAGTCAAAGAGGTAAGACGGAAGACATTCCAAATCAATTTATACATTTTTTTAAGAAATAGGATTACAAAAAGTCACATCAGCCAGAGGGAAAACAGAAAGTATGTGACATCATACCCTACAAAACCAACAAAATAAGTCTAAAAAATAAATAAGATTGATTTGTGTATCTGAAGACTAAGCAAGGAAGTAGGAAACTGGGAGGAAAGTTTCACTGGTTACTCATTTTAACTGGGAGCTACATTTAAAAAGTAATTCAAGTAACATCCATAAAACTATCCATAAAACTGCTTTAACCTTAAGCTTATTTTTGTCCTATATATCACCTAGTCTGATTTCAATATAGAAATAAGAAACTGCTTTAAGAAAAAATCACAAGTTTATGCTGAAGGGATGAGACACTAATAGAAAAAAATTCAAGAACACTAGACTAAAATTTTAAAAGTTAACCGTATTTAAATGCATTTTATTTTACTTGAGACTGCCCAAACATGGTTATTGAAATTAAATTAATCAGAAAACTACTAATGTAGTACCCAAATTTGAAAAGAACCCAATAAATTAAAAAAATTAGGTAGTGAGCTGTACCTAAAATAAAGGTAATATCCCATCTCAGTGCTTTTATCAGTTTGTATGTTATTCCCCAAATCTTTCCTGGCAAATTAATGAAGATTCATAATAGGACACAAAGCATTTTATACAGCTGGATAGATCAATTCAGACGAAAATCAAGGCTTGAACATGCATTGTTAAAACTGTGAAGTAAATGCGGAAACAGGCTAAGAGAAACCAGCTGAAAATCTAGATGCACATCAATCTAGCAAGCAAGTCTACAGAGTAATTTATCCTCACACATCACCCAAAGCAACCAACTACCTTATATTGCTATTTTAAATCACTTTCTAAAAATACATAATGTTACAGCTAGAAAGAACTGCAGAAAATTGAAAGAAAAACAAACTGTGTCAGTAGCAGTAAAACTAATGAAGTTTGGTTTCTTATGGTTTATCTTCTGTTCAGTAATTCCTAACCTTTAACCTAGCTGCCCCAATTCCCCCAGGCTAAAAAGAAGCTAAATTCTTGTATTAGGAGAAAGTTCACCAGCAGTGAGATTGAGTCAATTATTCTTATTATGATCTTCAGTAAGTAAGGCTATGAAATCTAGTAAGCTCAAAGACTAGGAGTGCCACTTTATGTCCCACTAGAACAGACTTCAGCTAAATTAAATTACATAGCAGGAAACGACCCTCTTCCCACAAAGATGGACTTGACTTCAAGGGCAATGTCTAATTTACGGCTTTCTTTTGTGTCTGAAGACTCTCCCCAGCTAGATGTTTGGAAGAAGGGTTCACTACTGCCTTGGTTGCATAAACTGCTGAGCACCTCTGGCTCCATTCCAACAATGCACTTAAGTATGTGCTTAACTGTTTTGCTGGATCAGAGCCAATATATTCAGTAACTTATGAGACTTGAGTTCTGTATCCCAAGTAATAAGCTGTTAAAGCCCAAGGACAACATTTATGAAGATGATTTGTCTGATAAATAAATGAAATCTCCTCTAACCATAGGAGATAACAACCCTAGCCATAGTAACATCAATGGTGGCACTGCAATACATACATTTTTATACTCTCTTTGGAGATGGTGCAACAGGGTTTATTGATTTGGGCTTTCTGTTTCAGTTTGTGTGTTTGGTTTTTGTCTTTATTGCCCTGTTACAACACACACCCCTCCTAGAGGGATGAGACAGCCTTAGGAAAGCAAACTTAGCATAAAACATCTACTACTACAGTATTTTGCTCTTAAGACTGCTTTCACACAACCAAGTCTCTGGAGAAGCCAAGATTATTCCAAAGCTTTTTAGGTTTACTGACAAAATGAAAATCTACAAATATCAAGTATTGGGAGTCTTAAAGATCTGATTAAAGTTTCATAGCTTGACTTGTACACTGAATTGCTATTACATGACCATTCACAAGAAAACAACCTACATCTTAGAGAATATTAGAAAAAACAGTAAGAGCAGAAAATAGCAGAAAATTTTCATTATCTGTTTAGGAAACAGTATCTGTAAACCAAGTATTTCACATTTTAAGTGTCATCTAAGCAGTCCAGTCCTCCTCAATGACAATTACAATGCTCCAGTTCTCCCACGTATGCAAAGCTTCCCTGTTTGTCAGTATTTCTGATACGGAGATCTCCCATGACAGATCACAGTGGTGTCATGGAAGTGAAATGGTTCACATTCAATTTATGGAAGAAAATGCATTAAAACCAAAAAGCAGAGCATAGCACAGGAAACTTAAGTCTTGCCTAAGAAAAGGAATGCAAAATGGAGCAAATAAATTAATCTCTTCTAACCTCTAATTACTTACTACTGTAGCCTGAATTTTCAAGCATTTGCATTTCGCACAAAAAGTTTCAAATTCTCTACAGAAAAGGCATTCTAAACAAAGTATGATTCCCCAGAAGCCCTTTAAAAAAACAACAAACACAAAAAACAAACACCACCCTAAAACACTGAAACAAAATTTTCACATAAACATTTCTTTGAAGAAAATTACTTGAAATGTCAACCACAAGGAAGGTATCTCACAAGGAATATTTCTCATTTGTTTATAGTTTACCAAGAAAAACCAACCATAAACATGTTAATACCAGCTTACCTTGGATACTTCTTCTTTTCCACTGTTTTCCTTAATGAATACTTTTTCCAGTTCAGGGCTTATTCCTTCTACATTACACGGCACACGTGAAACAGTTGATTTTGGCACTGAAATGTTTGACAGTGGCATAGGGACTGATCTGGAAACAGAAGCCTAAAAGGTAGAGAGCAACATGATTTGAAGCTGTAAAATTGAATAAAGACAGAAGTCTGAGACCAGTACTAAAAAATTCTAAAAAGCAAGAAGTTGTGTATTAATCTTACCCTCTAGAAGACCAACTTTACTTGTCAAATTCAGATAAAAAGAAATGCTTGCATAAATCAAAAGCCACTAAAATCACCTCTACTCAACTCAAGGAAGTGTTCTATAATAAAAGCATTCTATTACTTCGCTTATCATTAAGTAGGCAAGTATACGTACCTCCCGGACATATAGACTATAGAAGAGGCAGTAAGGGGATGAGGAGCATGTGGGGTGCTGATGCTGATGGTTTAACTGGGAACCAAAAGGCATTTCCCAACATTCCTAAAGCTTAACCACTCAACTGAAATATTCACTTAATGCACTTTTATTCTCTTTTGGTTGGCTTTATTGAATGAAAAATAAGGCATTAATTCTGAACCTTTAATTTCATTAGCTTACAGCTCTTCAGAACGTCACATCAAAGGTCTTAAAATAAATTATTTGGAGTTTAAGAATCAAGCATGTAAATAAATACAAGTACAGTTTTCAGAAAAACCTGTTGGAGTGGAGCTCTGTTACCAGCAGGAACCATTCACAAGAGCGCACATGCATCTTGCGCAGTCGACCTCAGAAGCTTTACCTTGGCAGCAGCTACATAGCATAGATACACCTACGCTGACAGCCATAAACAGTGTTCACTTCCCAATATATGTTCTCCTCTTGTTCACAGAATCATAGGATGCTTAAGACAAAATGTAAAATTTATTTTCTGGGTTCTTGCTAAATGAACCTTGCACAATGTGCAGCTCCAAAGGTGCATGTCACTTGTGTGGAGGCATTCTCTGACTGACAAAACACAGTGTCTGCAGGACGGCTTCCCACAGTAGCGCCAGAACTGAAAACGCCACTGGCCTTGTCAGAGAACACTTTCTTAAGAAATAAAAATGTTGCATGAGCCCTCATAAAGTGAGCTTCAAGTGCTAAAGAATGTTCCTTCAAAGCATATGTCCTAGGTGAATTTCAGTCGGTGTCAAAGACTGTTTTACTGTGACTGTAAAGAGTGGCACAGGTACCTGCAACAGCTTACTTTGAGATGGAAAGCGAAACCCTTTTCTATACAAAATGTGGTGGGATCCTTCATTATAAAAGCATAAATGTTTCAGGAAGAATATAAATTTCCTATATGTCTTCATCAAAAGATTAGGTTTTAACCACGAGTTTTGTTCCAAGCAGAAGAAGGAACATAAAGGATCAGCCATCATGGTTCAGCCTCTCCTTTCTAAACACTAGCTATTTAAAAAGGCAGTCAGGAAATACAATGACAGAACCAACATTTCAGGAGTTCAAATAGCGGCCTGTTAAGTAACATGGGGTCCAAGTAAAGGATTCACTCTGGGTGAAATTTAACCAGGACTCATATGTCCACGCTGTCAAATGAGACTAGATTAACTGTTTTCTGTAAGTGGCTTAAGGTTCTTGAAGTCACTGACTGAACCTTGCCTGAGTTCTTTAGAACTTGTAATTGGGTTTCAGTTTCACTGCCATTTTGCGATGGCTAGAACAGACACTGCATGGGGCATCCTCCATTGCCCTCTGCTGAGAAACTGGTTCATGGTCAGGCAATTTGGCCAGGTAATATGCCCAAAGCTATTCTTCGTATGTGTCAGAATCTTTATAATAGGAGAAATATAGATATACTCAGAGTACAGGCAAATTTTTATAATTTTTTGAACATGAACCTGTAAACAAAAATTGTCTTAGCCAGGCTAGTGTTAAAATGATCAACTATATTCAACTTTGCCTAAACTCACACATCACTTTGAAAAATAGGTAAGTAATAAGACAACAGAAAACAGAAGATGTCAGACTAGGAGCCTGAGCTTAACCTCTCAGTGAGGAGGACATCAAATCCATAGACCGACGGCTGGAGAGAAATCCTGTCATCACAATGCCCATTGGTATAGAACATAAGAATGGTTATCAACATAATCTGGACATAGGATTTTGCCTCCTAAAGATTATGTCTGAGGTTTTACAATAAGTCATAGTGTCTGCAACAAGAACAGGCCTATGATGACAGCAATTTTTCCATTTAATATGATAGAGATTCTCAAAATATACTGTAACTGTACTGTAACATAGCCACTGCAACCACAAACTCTCATGCTAGAAGACAGGATCCTGTACTGACAATGACTCTGGACTACCATAACAACCAACAGGTATGCACTAGACAAAACCATGAAGAAAAAGACTTTTAACCTGTAGTGTGACAGATCCTCTAGTCACACTGTGACAAGGAGCGCCTTGATTTCAGTTGAGTTTAAATTCAAGGTGAATTATCACTTTGTTTTCAGAAAGTAAACACCACAATATTGTTTTACTTGATGTCACGTGGAAATCTCCCACCTCTCTGGCCAGGAACTGACCAATAAGCAAAGTATCATAAAGATTCCTAAAAAAGGACAAGGAAATGAGATTTTCCCTCGAATCTCTGGTGATACAGCGTTGCTATCTTTTACTGATGAACAGATGGTAAGGTGAATTATAAGTCTGTTCCTAACGAGCCAGTTAGTGTTCGGTTTTGCTGCTCAAAGACTGATCAACTGTTGGGCTGACAATCCATACGGCTTACGCTTGTTACTTTCTTTCTCTTTTCTATTTTTATTTTTCTTAAGCAGCTCAGATGAAATTGGGTTGCAAAACTGATAAGCAAATACCGTCCAGGGAAGCAGAGAATTTCAAAAGGGTACCACAAGAATTAGTCTTGGAAGCAAGTATGTATTATTCCTGGAAAAACAGTCTAATCTGGCCATGCTCTGAATTTTTACAGTATCTTAAAATAATTTAGCTCTATTATATATGACTATCAGACAAATTTCAGTGAAGATGTAATGATACCAGGTTGTTAAGCATTTCAGTGTACCACATAAGAAAACAAACAGAAGGAAGATGGGAAGAAACAGCAGGCTATTCAGACAACCCAGCTAAGGTAGTTACTTGTATTAACAGCTTTCTATCTACTTACCTGAGACTGACTGATTGCTATATGGTTGCCATGGAGAGGTGACTGACGTTCTTTCTCTTTACTGTGACGACTACTCTGCTTACTGCGTTGAAGCTGCTGCCTCAGTTTGGCAATCTGCTGGAAATAAATTCAGGTGAAGTGATAATGAGTTAAGGAATGGATGAACGCTCAAATATTCCTATATAACATGAATCACAGACATCTGAAGTCTTCTTTGGAGGATTTTACAAGCATAGGGGATTGCCTTCCCTTGAAGCATGAGAATTACGGCTTTTTCCTGCTTATTAGATACTGTCTCCAAAGTATCTGCCCTATTTGCGAACCTGAATATGACAGCAGGCTTAGTTTAATTACTAAACTTCCTCATTTACAAACAAGAACTGTAACAAATGATGTAAACAAAAGTAGTCATAATGACAGCTTGTAGCAATTTCTGGCCTACAACTTGTTTAAACTGGGGACTATGAAGCCTACAGTTTAGTTTATTTGATCTTAAACCGAACCAGAGTTTTCCAGTGATAATTCATCACAAAAGCAAAGAGCCTTCACAAACAACTGGTGATCAATATGCAATGCTCGTCCTGGAGAACTTATTAAATAGCATTTCCCTGCAGGCTAAATTATCACAGATTCCTTCAGGCAGACAGAATTATCTTTTCTGCTGTCTGCTGCAAAGATGTCTAATCAAAAGTTACATATTTTAAAGGTCAAATGCAGCTAAAGCCATTATCCATTTGACCTGCTCCTTAACAGAAACCAAAGAATTCAGTCTGGGGATTCTTCCACTTTTTTATTCCTCCTGGATAATTTCTACATGACACCAAGTATTTATGTCTATAAGCATTGTCTCAGAAGTTTAGACTACGTGCAAATTCACACAACAGGTACGGACACTTCCTTAAGCCTGGATAATTTTTTCCTTTGGGCTCAAGTCCTCATAGTCAGCATACTGGTACATAAGGCAAAGCATGCATGGCCCCATTTCATTTTTAACTCAGCTAGAGATACAATTTTTTAAAACCTGAAAGGCAAGTAAGGAGAAGTGAATGCACACATAATTCATATTTCAGAGAACTTCATCAGCTGGAAGGTAACCTCTCTTTCTGAGTGACAGCTTACAAGTACATGCACTCTGTGGTTAACTCCAAGTAGTTAAATATATCACTAGTGCTCTTGCAAAGCAACTCTGTGGTAGACAGTCACTTCACATCACTTCATAGTGTAAGAGATGACAGCATTTAGTGAAGAGGTTTGGAGGGAGCTTTGCTCCAGGGTGTGGACTTTCCTTTGTCATGTTTCTGCTACCACTTACAAAAGAAGGATCCACCTTTCAGGCTGCATATCAAGTCTTGCCACAGCTCATTACCCACATTCAGAGAACTGCTACTCAGAAATGGCTGAATACTTTGATCTTTCAACAACAGACAAACAGTTCAGATTTCTAAAAGGGTCTGTGTGTAGAATGAGAAAGACAGAGCCCTAATGTGAATTAGTTTCTAACACAGAGGAGCTAGATTTAGAGAACTGGGAGACTAATGTCTTGATTAAAGGTGCAACTCAGGCACCATGCTGGAAGAAACTTTGAAGGAGTCTGAAGAGATACTTCATTGCTACCAAAAAAAAAAAAAATTTGTCCACAACTTCCTCATTTTCCCTGCAGGAGTAGTGGCAATTAGGAGTTTAGCTCCATAGAGAGATGGAACAAGCAGGTAACCGGCCTGGTAAGTATACATACATCTACAAAGATTTATGTCTTACATCAGAATGTTGGAGAATGAGGAGAACGGAGAAATAATCTTCATCTGCCCCTTTAAAAACTTTAAAAAATAAGAGAAAAATGATGCCCAGATCAGAGGACAGCTGTGGACTGAGATGAATCGCTACAAGAATAATCAGAAAGCAGGGAGAGCGCTGTACATAAATCTTTCATTTCTGCTGCCTCTCCTTGATGCTGTGCGCTTCCTCCTAGTTAAAAAGTTAAATACCCTTTTTTTTTTAAATTTAAATTAAATCTAGCTTTCTGAGCTTTCCTCAGGAGCATGCTATAAAAAAATATCTATAGAATACCACCTCAGAGATCTGACTGACTGATTTCTGTCGCAAACAGCTTGTGAATCTTTGAGAATATAGCCTCTCAATGTAAAATGTGGACAGCAAAAGCATTAAATGGGAAGGTGTCAATAGGCTGATATGTCTCTAGACTGACCATAACCTTGAAGCTCTGATATCCTGAAAGGAATCACAGATCCCTGGAACCTGAGATTCTCTCAGCAACCTCAAGAGTATGTATATTTTGACAGTCAGTAGGTTCTTGACAGTAACAGAAAGAAAAGGCCTCTTGGGTCACTGGAGAGAAAGAGAAGGAGGAAAACTTATTGAAGAATCTGACTGTGTATCTGGAGCTGATACTATCACTTAAGCCAAATATCCAAGGCAGTGAAGAATTCTCAGACCATCTGTCCTTAGCTCTGAATTTGAAAGGCCCTAGCTTTCCATGATGTGGTAGTTACCACCAGATAAAAAAATGAGAAAGTAAGGATGGACATATAAAAAGGAATCTGCCATTTCTTGTTCATCCTCCAGACATGGGAGACAGGCTTGCCAGAAAAACCAACCTGGGTTCAGAGCAGCCACACCAAGCAGCCAGTGGCATCGAGTGGAGGGAAGATTCCTCCAAACGAAATGATGCTCCATCTCTTCACTACAGGGACTCCACAGTGAGTCTACTACTTGCTAAAACTAATCTTGAAATCCCAATAGTTCTTCTCTTCTACAAGATTATCTTTTTATTCACAGCTATTTTCCTTCTCAAACTCAAATAAAGCCACTACTACTAACAGGAAGAGGTAGCTGTGCTAGCTTCCTAGGAGCTTATCTTCACTTCCTTCCTAAGCAGCCAAGAAGCACAATCAGAGCATCAAACATAACCAAAATGAGCTTCAGACAGCTGTGAGGTACAATAATCTTAGAAAAGCAGATATAATCTGTGTAGTGAGGAACATATCTGAAACATATGTCTTGATGGTACCTGTTTTACCAAGTATCTCAAAGAAGAAGCAGATCCTGTCTCTTGGACACTCAACGGACACAACTATTATGAGCTAGGGAATTTGCTGTGCAAAGAAAATGGTGCCAAGTGATTGCTATCAGGAAAACATGTGCTTGAAGATACAGCCATCACACTGGTGTAAATACACTCTGACACTGTACTCCATTCAGGGCAGCAATACAGATAGTTCAGTCATGGACACGAGGCAGGAAAGGAATAATGTGCTATGCTGGGGAAAAAAAGGTGCAGTAACAAAACACTCAATTTTAACAGGGCAGCTAAAAAGAACAGAAAGGGCTGGGACACCGTTTCCTTCCAATGCCCAGGTACTGAGCATGAAAGTGATTGGGGCATACACAATCATACTAAGGAACACACGAAAATCATTATAGAAAGATCTAATGTGCATCCTTTAAAGCATCCAGTTGTTTACAACATTAAAGCCTTAGACTTGCACATATGTGCACTTAGATCCATAAAATGTCACAATGATTTTAGTATACCAATTAAAACGCTCTCCCTTGTCTACCTAGCTCAAAGACAGGCTGAATGTTCTCATTATACAATACAGGCATTAAAAAAAAAAGAAAGAAAAAAAACCCAATTAATTCCTCAAAGAACAAATGCAATTTGAAACCCATTTCCAATGTTCACATACAATTATTTAAAATTATTTTGCTTCTTTATAAGGTATAAACATGTATGGTAGCCAATCTCAAAGTATATATTTTAATTCACATTTGGCAAATTCTCCGATGTGGCTGTATGGGAGGGAACACAAAGCACACATTTCAAAAAAATTAAGTTTTCAGCCTTTCCTCTTTCAGTGACTGTTCCCTAAAATATTGTTGATGTATCAGAAAGACTCTTTTCATGACATAAAGTTATCTATTAAAAACACCAACAAAAAAACCCAAGAAAACACAAAGATCAGTGCATCATAACAGTAATAAACCTACATCAGGTCATTCAGGACACAAACTTCCAGTTTCAGCCTTTACTGTCATATAGACAACTATAAGATGATCCACCAAAGACTACTAAACAAATAAGAAGTTAGGAAAAATCCCTAGAAATACATTTTTTGCTTGCTGAATATTTTTACAGCTAGAAGGGTACTTGAAATAAATTTGAATCTTGTCTATACCACTTGTAATATGCATGCAGTCTAATATAACTAATGGCACAAACCTGAGAAAAAAGCAAATTAGGTCGGTTTTTTACAACACTGGAATAATCTGAGTATCCTGATAATTTTTCATTTGAAAAGACCTAGACACAGACTACTAATATGAAAGAACATGTCACATCTCACTGTTGCTGTCCAAAAGCTGATTAATATTTACCAGCTAATAGGCTGTATTTCCACAAATCAGGCTACACAACATAGTAACTTCCTATTGCTGAACAAGCCAAACTCCTCGCTAATGAGAGCAAGCTCTAACTCATGCATGAACCATTTGTTAATAAACAAGTTAAACAGTAGGTCAAAGAGTAAAACAAGCATTAGAAATCTACCCTGAACCTTTGAATACAATCTTTTGATTGGTATATGAAAGCACATGAAAAGTGCAAGCTCTCATATTCGATTCTCTTTTATTCCAAAGTCCTTTTCAAGTGCTCTATTAAAGGGACCTTCCAATGGGCGGTTGTTGGTGTCAGTGTAACAGATACAGCATACAGAGCTGCTTATGGGAAGTGAAAAATCATCTGTCTGAAATACTCACATCTTAAAAAAAACACACAAACTGAAAACTATTTGGTTTAAATCCTGTTTTTTTTCAGTTCTGCATAAGCTATAACTAAAATTGTCTCTATTCAACAGAATTTCAAACTAACTATTCAGGTTGAAAGGGGAAAAAATTCCAATGGTGCAAACCTCTACTTGGTTTGTGTCCAGTACAAAGGCTCTGATAGCAATCTTCACCTCCCAGTCAAGACACGTATCTATGAAAATAATGTGAAAGCAGTCTGGCATTATCCTACAAGTTATATTCCAGACTTCATTTAAAAAAAAAAAAAAAAAAAAAAACCAAAAAAAAAAAACCCACAATACACAAGCAGTAGATCTCTTCAGAATAAAAAAGTAAATCTTGTTAGGAGGTGATAAAAAAAAAGTGCACTCTATCTTTACAAAGTTCATATTGAGAGTTGGGGAGTTGTAAATTTTTTAATAGACCCACTATAATATAGCAAGCATTGCCTATTTAACTGCTAGACAGACTCAATTCTGACACCCATCTCTTTCAACTCAAGGGCAAAATAATTTTCAACTACTCAAAGTGAATTTCTTTTTTTAATGTGGTAATGCAGAATTAATTTGCTTGTTTCGGATCTTAAGTCTATACACTGATTTCTAGTGTTTTTAAATACAAATCTTTTAAACAGAGCTCCCAGCTGTGTCAAATAAATGCATGTAATTGTGATAGCTCTCAAACTAACACAGTTTTTTTTTAAAAAAAGCACATTCAATCTTCTTTCTCAAAACCAATCAAAACTACACATACAAGTATTTGACTAGTTTACAATATCAACATAATAAAAAATACAGGCTAGAAATCATTGCATTAATTGTTGGAACAAGAAACATGAATCCAAACTGCTAAGACAAGCCAAGGAAACTGTCAATAGCTATGTACTTGTTTACTGTCAAATGCTATGGGAAACAATTCAAATTGCTGAGCAGAACTACTGTTACCTATGCTACTCACAACAAATGCAGTTGCCCAGGAGAGGTGATATTTTTATTTCCATTACTTAAGCTCTTGCTTTCAGCTGCTTGTAGATTTGTCAAATTTTCTCTGAAGTCTACCATGCAACACTCAGCTCCCCTATCCCCTTCCCATCAGAGACTTCAGTAAAAGTATTGAAGTCATTTTAAGAATGAGATTAAAATGAAAGCACGTGGAAATAATTTTACCATTTTATGCACTAAAAAGCATTACCATAGCTTTTTTACCTGGGAAGCCCTGTTTTCCAATGCTTTGGAAGAAAAAGCTAAACATTTTTCTGGAGGTCCTTTATGCTGGGAATGTGTCCCTCTATTCCCTTGGAAAAATTTCTGTTTGGTGAAGTTTTAGCAAAAAATTCAGTCTGCATATGTTCAGGAAAGATGTTTGGAACTGGCAGCTACATTTGCTAGTAATTCTGTCTCTAGTGGGCATTACAGTTTTATTAAAACTGCCCCAGAGAATTTCTCCTTCCAGAAACTGCAGATTACTGGGGCACAATGAAACTGAGTGCACAGATACTACCGGTATTGAACAAACTTTGAGCCATCAGAGAAGCTAGAACCAGGACTTACAGGTGAGGGAAAGGAAAAAGAAAGGGACAAAATAAACAAAATAAAGAGAAACAACAGGCAAAGAGCTGGAAGGTAACTGAATAAGAGTTCAATTATGGGAAGACAGATTAGAACTAGCTGGATAATGCATGCTGAATGACACCGGAACTATGAACCTGGGGAGCTAGAAAAGGCAGGAAAGCTGCTTTGAGAAGCTGGAGAAAGGAAAACAGAGTAAGGGAAAGAACTATAAGCCAGAGAAGAAACCGGCAGGTTTTGGGGTGAACAGCTATTGCAGAATTTGGACAGAAACAATTCCCTTCCACATGCCCCATTTTTTCCAGCACTGTGTTCTATCAGAAAGGAACCATGAAACCCATGGGCCATACGTTTCTTATCTTTCTCCTGTAGTCAGTCCATAAAGAGGATGGCAACCTAGCACAATGGATCCCTGTTATCAAATGGCAGAGACTTGCTTACATGCTGAAGGTTTCACTATCACTGACAGTCACAGCTTCGTGGTGAAGAAAAACTGCTTGTTGCAGAACCTGATAGGGAACTGCCAGAAGATGAAGGATGGTCTCTCAGTAAAACCAAGCAAGCGTTATCCTGGAAATACAGATGCTACTCCTGCCCTTGCTACAATTCCTTTGGGCTGATAGGTAATGTTTAAGCCAGAACTTTTCAGACACAAAACTCCTTCTGCACTAATTTCTGGGCACTTAATCTGTGATTTTGAGTGCTTCCTGACAGCTGAAGATGAAGTCACCCACACAACAGAAGGCTCATGTACTAATAAATCATTTATGATGGGTTTCATAACATGTACTCAATGAGATGGGAGTAGACAACAACCTTCTTCGGACTGACCTTTTTGGCCCAGGTCCTCATCTTTAAAAATGAGGCTATTGCCACCACTGGAATGAAAGATGATTCCATATTTGTCAAATTTGATTTTAAAATTCAAGTAATTAAACTTATATCGCTCCTTTTGACAACTACTCTTCTTATTAATGGCTGTTCAGAAGAGGACTACATATTGCCGGTAACATCATCTCCTCAGACAACCTATACATTTCTTCTCATTTTTACCGACCTACTGAACAGACAAAGCAAAAAGCCCAGAGTATCAGGGCCAAGTCCCACCCCATGAGAACATGCTACAAGATTCATTTCTTAAACAGAAAGGTGCAGCTCTTGAAGAGAGGCTGCACTGTTCGTGACAGGGGCACAAGGCTAACTGCAGGCCAGTTATTAGGTACTGGACAGAGCTAGAGTTAAATGAACTCTGGACAGAATGGAGTTCACGGGGACAAAAACTGAAATGTTGTCACTTCAGCTGAGCTGAAGACTATTTTACTGTATCTCATTTCTTGTGATGCAAATCCACTTCACTTTGGTGGGTTGTTTCTAGTTGCACTTGTAGCCTACAGCAAAATACATACGATTAAAGAGCATTTTGAGTAATCATAGCATTACTATATCAATACTTACTCTCCTTTTTCATTTATGAAAGTGATGTCTTCTCTATCTCCACCCTTAAACTTGAATGAAATTTCTGAACAAGAATATGCTAACATATCAACTTACACTTTGCCTCTTTCAGGAGAGTAGTGATAAAGAATACAAAGCTAGCTAAGGTAACTCTGAGCAAAAAAATCAGTAAGCTACAAGCAGTTGGTTCCTCAGCACGCACTCTGGCCACTCCTTCAAAGCCGACACTGTGCAGTAGGAAGGGAGAAAACCAACGGGTATAAAATAACAACCACTCTTGAAACAACTCCTACTTTGGAGGTAAAATCTGTTTCAAAAGCAACAGAGGTTTTTAGTTTCCTGGACTCCAGATAGGGATTAAAAAATGTTTTGGGCATATCAAAACTTGAAAAGCTCCACTGTGCAAAACTTCTCACCTCTTTTAATTGATCAGCACTTCCCCATGATGCTGAGCGTTGATGTGATCTCTTTTCTGCTCCTTCTTCAGCCCAACAGCTAGGTGTCTAGAGGGAGAAAAAAAAAAGAAAATATACTGTACTGAACTCCCCAGGTAAGAAAAACTCTGCAGTGTCAGAGTTCAGGCATTATACATGAAGAGTAAATTTCAGAATCTGTTATGCAGCAGTAATAGTCTCAATACCTAAAAATACAATATAGAAAACTGGGGCTTTGTAAACTTGCATTTATAAAGGATAATGACAATGCACACTACTGAAAAAGGAAACAGAGGCCTGACAATCACAAAAAACCTTACCTGGCTACTTCCATCTGCACTTTGGCATCCATTTCTAGTTTTCTCTCAGTGGACAGTTTAGAAAACCACAAGATTAAAAAAAGTACAAACAAATTCAGAGATCAAAAGGCAGGATTCACTTCTCCTACCTGTCTTCCTTAATCACTGGGCCATATAATCAATTCCTTCTTGCTAACTCTGACTTCATACAGAGTTTGATACACCTTTTATTATTTTTGGCATTGACCGACATGAGCAGAACAGTGAAGGGCATGTCTTTTCCAGCCTCATCTGCAAGCCCTTAAGTCTGAGGACTGCCCTTGGATGTAGGAGCTATAGTTAAACTCCAAAGATTGAGAAGGGTCTGGAAGCCAGATCTCCCAACTTCTGTGCTTATTCAGCACAAGACTATTACAAAAACAGAGGGTATCCACCAGCATTTCTGAACAAGAGAGTTACTGGCTGCCAGAGGAGCAACAGGAACATCTAAAATCCAGGGAGAGTTTGGGGTATGAACCATATAAAACTCAGGGCCACAGGCACATGTATAAATTTGTGAAAAGGGTTTTTTTTCCCAACAATTCTTACTAATATTAGCTGAATCTTTCACAATAAGGCCACAAGAAATAAAACTATACCACTGAAAATGATGAGAATTTGGCAGTGAAGTTTTTCAGGGAAGGGATCACCACTGATACTCCTCCAAGAGAGATGGGGCCCCAGCCCAGCAGGACGGGTAGGATCTGGGATCCACCTCCCTGAAGGACTTCCTTCTCACGCATGGAAACCCTGCTCCTCCACAGCTTTCCTTACTCTTGCTTCCTCTCTAGGGTCTAGAAACTTCTGTGGTACCCACACACATAGCAGACACTGTTCCTCTCAGGAAGGAGGCCAGGCATTGCCTTGGAGAACACCACAAAAAAACTGCCCGCAGCTCCTCAGCCTCGCCACAGCCTCCAGGCCAGGCCACTCAAGCCGAGCACACCAGGCCAGGCCTGGTCCCATTAAGCACCAAACTGTAGTTTGAGAGCACAGGCTATACATCTATAATCGCTGCACTGACAGAGTACTATATGGCCTACAACCCAGCACCTAACTCGTCAGTGCTAACATTGAATGTGCTAAATCACTTTGTGTGCACAGGCCTATGTATCCCACTTGTGTTTTCTGCCAGCCCTGTAGTTTCCATGGTTCTGGTGGGTTTTCTTCTCCATTATTTTTACACCACCAGGAATACTTCCACCAAAGGCCCAGCAAGCTGTGTGGGCGATTAGAAAGCAAAACAGAAAAAATCAGTAACAACGTTTTTGCTGCAAGTTCCCAGGAAAGAAAAAAACTACTCTTTACGAAAGTTAGGGTGCTGCATATTTATTATATGACTCTCTTTGTGTGGGTCTGGGGAAGAAGCCAGAAGATAATGTGGTTACGAAAAAAAAAAAATCAAGAGTGAATAGTTAACACAGCTATTTAAAACTATGAGGAAAACATGGGAGTCCCTCAGCCAGACAACCCATGACTCTCGCCACCCAAAGCCGAGACCCTGCCACACGCGTGCTACCTGTGTCTGCATTCGCTTGCTCTGCATTTTAGTTGAGCCATGTTCAAATAATTACTTGCTTTTGCAGATTGGGTACTTACCATCTCCTTGAAACTTGTGTGAAAGAGGTTGTATTGCTTTTAATTATTTTTTAAACACTGAAGTGGCTTGCACATTTCCAAAGAACTAGAGAACACGGTGAGAAAATCTGTTCCTTTTTCTACATCATGGACTTTCACAATCTATTACAATTTACTTTCCAATTTAAATTTATCTTTTCTTAAATTATTTTACTATAACCCCAGTAGAGCTAGAACCACACCTTCATACAAAACCAGAAAAACATCAATGTAGAGGGAATTCTTTGAAAATTTGTCTTCCAGAGAGTGTTTTCTGAATACAACACTGCTCCATAGTTTGGGGAACAATTCCAGGAAGAAGTAGAAACAGGTATTTCAGGTGCTTAAATATTTACCCATAGTGCAGGAGGGTGTACTAGGGATCACTACAAGCTCACAGCCTTTCAACTACAACCTAATAAACAGAAGAGAAAAGACGTCAAGTGTCTAAAAAGCCAAAGTGAATTTCTCAACGGAGAAGTAAACCACTAAAAAACAAAACAAAAACACATATGTAGAAAGCAAGAGTTTCCCTGTGTTTTTTTAATAAGCACAGATATTGATCCCGATAGCAACAACAAAAAAACAAACTAATAGCAACACTCTGAAGAACTTTATCAACACTGGTGACTGTTAGTAGAGAGAGGTGGGAATCCTTACATTGCAGTTGATTTAATTAGAAATCAAAAGCAACAAATACAAAACATCCATTCACTTCATACTAAATTTTGTACTTTCTCAAATATGCTCTGACACTCTCTTCACTCAAATACTATCTCCCTTGAGATAAGGATTGCACAGTTGCTTTCAATTTCTGGTAAACTGAGTCAAGTCATAATCTTTCAAAATATACATACAACTATCAGGAGGCAGACTACCTGTGTCCCTCCATTTTATCTGCAGTATTAGATTACAAATACTATACGATGTTCCTAGCACAGTCTAGCACAGTATGGAAGTCAGGCAATGCTATATTAATGAGCTATTCATATTCAGATGGAAAAAAATTAAAAATATTAGAAAATAACACAACATAAGTAGTTACTAGAATATTATAGCAAACCAGTCTTCTTCAAAACCTAGAAATTGCTGCTTGTAATATATTGTAATCCACAACGTAAGAAGATAAGTTTTGAGTTTGGAACCCAAAGTCCTTACGTTAAAGCAAGAGCTTTAAAAAAAAAACAAAAAAAACCCAAAACAACAACAAAAACCAAATAGAAGAACCCCACACTTGTTACATTCTGCTTTTAAGTTTAGCTCATGTATGAGCACCTCGCATCTCACTTGAATGTTGTAATTTACATCACAAATAAGATGGGGGTGTACAGCACCCCTGATATGCCACATTTCATGAAAATTGTTTCCCCTCTTTATTTACAACTTCTACAAAACAGGCTTATCCATAGAAGCCTTCATTTGAAGCTGCAAGTGTACTTCCCACGTGCTAAACAAATTAAAAAAATCATGAAAGTAAAAAAAAGTAACTCAAAACTGTATTTAAAGAAAAATTTCTGAATCACAATAGCATGAAACCAAAGTTGCTGCACCTCAAGTCAGAAACACAGTAAGAAAGGTCATATGCACCATCTGTGAAACTGGTAATATTTCAGAGCTGAAACAAATTTACAGCATCACATAAGTATGAACCGAACTTCATGAAACTGAAGGATTATTCCTGCAAGTCTATATTCAGAGCAAAGACTTAAAACACTTTAGGAGGAAAACCTTGAAAATATTAAGTAATGCATGCTGCAGCTTCAAGAAGAGGATTGCTGGTATTTTGAAATGTGAAGGCTCATGGTCCCAGTTTCAGTTGACACAATGCTTAAAGCATGCACATGGGATAGTACATGCTGAGAACACCACATCTGGTTGCTCTCTTCAGCCTTAATGTAAATCACAATTACCATTGTTCTAACTCACCCAACCTTGTAGAGATTAGCATTTCTTCCAACACATTTGGTAATTCTGCCTTGCTTTTCCACCCATGTCAGGGTTATACACCTACATTCTTTCCACTTCATTTAGATCAGAATGACTGCATGGAATACCAACCTACCTAAACCTAAAATAAGACTGAATTACTCTAAATATCTCACATTTTACTGCCAGCCCTTCGCTCTAATTACTATATCTAGCCTGCATTCCAGATTAACTACACTGGGGGATGGGTGCAAATATTAAGAACACAAGTCTACGTTTTACCAGGGAAGCAATAATGTTTTCGAAGAACTTCCACATTCAAAAGAAATGCAACAAGAGGACTAGAAGATAAAGTCTGATGAGTCTTCAGATGTTTCTAAAGCATTCAAAGGCCCTCTAGAAATTTTACAGAAAGAAATGGCCTAAAGAGTTAGAAGTTAATTTGACTGTAGGTGATGACTCCTCTTGGAGTGGGCAAGGCCCACTTGATGAGGCCAAGTGCAAGGTCCTGCACCTGGGTCGGGGCAACCCCAAGCACAATTACAGGCTGGGCGAAGAATGGATTGACAGCAACCCCGAGGAGAAGGACTTGGGGGCGCTGATAGATGAAAAACTGAACATGAGCTGGCAATGTGCGCTTGCAGCCCAGAAAGCAAACTGTGTCCTGGGCTCCATCAAAAGAAGCCTGGCCAGCAGGCCGAGAGAGGTGATTCTCCTGCTCTTGTGAGACCCCAGCTGGAGTACTGCATCCAGCTCTGGAGTCCTCGGCATAAGAAGGACATGGACCAGTTAGATTGAGTCCAGAGGAGGGCCATGAAGATGATCAGAGGGCTGGAGCACCTCCTGTACAAGGACAGGCTGAAAGAGTCGGGGTTGTTTAGTATAAAGAAGAGAAGGCTCTGGAGAAACCTTATAGGAGAGATGGGGAGGGACTTTTCATTAGGGAGTGCAGCAACAGGACAAAGGGTAACGGCATTACACTGAAAGAGGATAGATTTAGACTAGACATTAGGAGGAAGTTTTTCCCTGTGAGGGTGGTGAGGCACTGGAACAGGTTGTCCGGAGAAGCTGTGGATGCCCCATCCCTGGAGGGGTTCAAGGCCAGGCTGGATGAGGCTTTGGGCAACCTGGGCTAGTGGGAGGTGTCCCTGCCCATGGCAGGGGGGGGGGAACTCGATGATCTTTAAGGTCCCTTACAACCCAAACCATTCTATGATTCTATGAAACATCAGAATGGTTAAGAAAAGTTAGAATAATAAATTCATAATTGTATGACGCATATATCTTCTCTCCTTGTCCCACCCAAAGTACGTCATTAAAATATCCCATGAAATCAATGATAACTAATACACCAATGGAAAAGCTTCATTTAATTGAGCCTCCTGGTTTATGATGTTAATTTTTAAGCAACAAAATTTCTACCCAAAAGAAAACAAAACCAAACAACACTCAGGTAACTAATGACAGGTAACTGCATTAAAGCCTTGACCTACACACAAGAAGAACAAAAGCATATTTTAACCAAGCGTTCCAGTTTAATAACTTTGCATTATTCTTTAGAGAGAAGTAAAAATGCAGAAAGACAGTTTGCAAACTTCCTTCATTTCTGTTTGTGTAATAAGTAACTGCCATATACATTGAAAAAGGCATATCCAGACACACTAGAATTCAGATTAAGACATCAGTTGGGCGGGTGGGGGGTAAAAATCACTAAATCATATTCCACTTGGTCATTTGTTCTTTTCTTTGTATTATTTAGATCAAGAAAGATTACATAGACGAACCTTCTTTGTTATAACATCAACATGGTATGTTTATTCCTAACATCGCCTTTTTAACTTTATAAACAATCTTTTAAATTATTTAGCTACTGCCAAATAATTATACTGATAAACTATGACAATTATCCAAATGTTTTGCACATTCTGAGGTTAGGCATAACCATTTTAACACTGAATTATTCCTTACACTAAGAAGGGAGAAATACTTACATGTATAGCATGAAGGGGAAGTATACAAAATTGCTCCATCAGTGCTCTCAACAGAGACGGAAAAAATGGGGAAGGAAGCTACACTGAATTTTACATGGCCTTAATTAAAAGTTTGATTTTTACTGAAAGGGAGAGGGAAGCAGGAAGGATGAACTTGGGAAGGGGATCACAAAGTATAATAACTTCCTATAATACTAACTTTCCCTGCATGTTTGAAATACTTAAAACCCTACTAAATAAAATGGCATACACTTGATTATCCAAAACTTGCTGCTCCTTAAAGATCAGTTAGTCGTATGCATATGCACACATACAAATAGGAATATAAATGCATGTAGAACTCTGAGAAGCCTGGAATTGTATAAATGTCACAATGCATAGTGTCACAGTATATTTTTCAAAATGCAAACATAACAACCTAACTTCTCTTCAGTGTTTTCAGTCAAAACACTTGAGGTGGTAAAAGGGATACAGAAATATGGACTATAGTATTCTCCAAGATGCAACAGAAACTAAACCAAACAAAATTTGGTTTCTTCTATGTAAATAATAATATATAATTGAATTATTTTTTTAAATCCTGGTTTAATTTTAGAAAAAGAAGAAACATTTTATTCATGAGCACTATACAGGTTCAAATAACTTAAGTGGGAAACAAGGATTTGGAACTCATTAAAGGTTCATCTGATCACAGTGAAAACTTGAATCTGACTCCTTTTTTGAAATACAAGAATTCGAAGAAACTGGAAACAGCCATAATCACCACCTTCATGAAACTGCACAAAATTTGCATTTTAAATTAATCTTTAATTAGGAAGAAAAAATACCCTTGAAAGAGAAATAATTATTCCACCTACAATGTAAGTTATACTGACAGTATTGTTCATGAGTTTAGAAGTAAAACAAGAGATAATTTATTCTCCAATGAAACATGCTCATGCAAAAAATACTGGTTTATTGATTTTCATTATCTCCTTTTTATTTATTTTGTTTCTTACCATCTTCCACTCTGCTAAACTATCAAGCGTTATTACTCTTAGCTACGGTAATCTATATGAACTCCCATGAGCTAAACTGTTACTTAGCCAACAAACATGAAGTAGTAGAAGCACTTGTCCTGGTACTCAGGCAAAGAGCAAGGTTTTAATTTAACTTAGTTTGACATGCATGCATTCTATCAACTACTTGGAACTCATCTCCTTAGTTCTTGAAATTAGATATACTGCAAACTACACAGAGGTCAATCAACAAAAAAAAAAAAAAAACCCACACAACCAAAACATAAGTCAATATTTTGTGATCATCTACAAGCCTCCCTACTGATAAACTATTTAAAAAAAACTGGAATTTGTTGTTCCAGTCACTGTGGCTTGTTACATTTTACATATTTATATAGTCATGAGTAGTCAAGACACATGTTTTTCTACTCAACACTGCTAAATGCTTGATTTTTGCATAATTTGAATACAAAGACAGCTAATGTAATTCCTTGTTAGAAGACAATGACACAAATACAGAATATGAAACTTCCTTGCCCTTGTACCTTTGAAATAATACTTCAGCTTGTAATGACAACAGTACTGCCTTTCCTCTCTGTTACATTTTATTATGCTGAAAAGGTAAAACTTTTTTTTTTCTAATCCCTGAGCTTTGCTTCTGAATGAGGCAAAGGGTGCCAGCCAACAGGTCAAATAACCTAAACACTTGCGTGAGCTAACTAGGAAAGCAATTTTACTGCCAAATGCTTGGAGCTCAAATATTTAGAGAACAAATTTGTTTCTCTTTTCTGTAACTACTGAAAAGATTTGTTTCTGAATGTTTAAGTATTCTAAATTTTCTATTCATAAGGGTATTTGTGAAGTCTGATATGGGTACATGTTTTAAAAGAGGGGTTAAGAAATGCAGTAAATACAAAGCATGCTACCAAAAATCTCCTCCATGGAAATTATGGTTTCAAAACAGGAAGACTTTCAAAGTATAGTATTGTGAAAGGAAGGCATCTTGGAAGTAAATTCAGGATTAAGAGCTTTCCAAGTAGATCTTTCATGACAGTAAATATGACTGCTGCTGCTTCTTTTTGCTAAAACTGGCTGGCTGGTTTCAAAATCAATGAGTAGGTCAAGAAGACAGCATTTTGTTAAAGAGCCCCACCACACTTCCTAACAGTTTCCTTGAACAACTTTAACCATCAGATTCCCAAACTGATTAAAAAGGATTTCTGGAACGTACAGACAGATCTTTTTTTCTTTTCTAAGCATTCTATGCTTATCCTTCCCCCATCAGAGGGCTTCCTGCACTACATTACAGTATATTGTAAAGACGTGGAAAATTATTTATACATTCTAACTTGGCCTGAGAAATTCAGTATTACACAAAAGACTAAAATGGTGGCAGAATTGTTGACAAATATGTTGCAAGTCAGTAGAAACTAACCAAAACCTATACACCTAGAAGTGAAGTTATGACAGAAAAATCCTTGGTATTTTAAAGGTATCATTGTGACAACATAAGCTTCCATTAAAAACAATTCTTAATGGCAAAAGAGAGTTATAAGCAAAAGGTAGGACGTCAGAAGTATCATTTTTCTTTTCAGGACACCCATCATAACAATGGACCAGAACCATGGCACAAGAGATAGAAAACTGATTTAACAGCCATCCCTACATGGCCTGTAGACTGAAAATATAACCAAAGATAGCTAGTTTTTTCTAGTTTACAATTTAGTTAAGAACACAAACTCAGATTAGTTCCTCCATACCCTAATGACACTACTGAAAAACCAAGAATACAACTCTTTTGCTAATAATCTGGGTTTTTTTAGAAGTACATGTTTTTAGCTGTTTGATAGTGAATATCTTTTTGTAGGCAACAAGATCCAATGTGAGGAGGAGTCAAGCAAGAAACAACATTCACCTTTTGAGCACTGGAGCACTATGAATGCCACAGCAGCCTACCTGCCAGAGGTTCCTCCTAAGGATAGAGCCCTGAGGATTCAAGGGTATCACAAAGGTATCAGGCCAGAAAAAATCTCAGTAGCCTTCCCTTTGTAGCTGGTGGTAAGGCTCTCATTCTAATGTCTGGCTTCAAAAGGCAACTCTTCCACAGTGCATTTTTATTTGTCTTTCTTGCAACTACGCTGCAGAGAGGATATCTCAAGACCATATTGAAGCTCACTCCCAGCTCCCTCTTCTGGATTTCCCATCCAGTGGCAAACTAATCTATTCTTCTTAACAGTAATGTCTCTCCTCCTCCTCCCCCCTACACAGAAAAATACACTTTTTGAGACCCACAGATTCAATACTATGATTTAGTAAAATCTTTAGTTTGTCAGCCACTACTATTATGGAATTTGCTTTTTTAAATAACACTCATCACAATTCTGCATATAGCAGTTTCAAAATAAACCAGATACAAGGCTGATATTGAAATCTGCTTATTGAGCCTCAACAGATCAGCCCACATAAAGAAAATTATTTTTAACAACTCTTTTCTAAAAGCATAAAATCATCTGTCGCATGCCATGTTACTGAACTGACGACTAAAAAACACTACTGTACTCTATTTTTAGGACTTCATATTTATAATAAAATTAAGTGAATCCACATTTCTTTGGAATTAAGTTGAACTAAGATTCCAGATCTTAGTTCAGTATTATTGAGAAGACATAAATTATACAAAACATCTCTGTTGTCTTGTTTTACAGCTTTTACCTGAGTAGATTTATCTTTCATACATGAAGAGTAGTGTACGTGGGGATCACGTGGCCACTGTCCTGTGAGGTAAGGTCCTGTTATTGTGTCCAAAGAAGAAGTTCGCCTTATGGTACCAGAAGTTCTGATTTGCTGGGATTTTGGCCTGTCCACTGTAGAAAACCAGAACAAAATCAACAAAAAAGTCAGGCTAAATTTGATGTGAAATGTTAAAAGCTAGCTATCTGAAGCCTTTGTCCAAATGCCAAGCTGAAAAGAATGCCAACACATCAAAGCAAATAACATCAGACAACAGAGAAAAAAAATCCAAAAGGGAAAACTTAACTGTTACAAAAAACAATGCTTAAAGTGTTCATATCTGCAAAGAACCATGCTACTTACGTGATATATTTTCATCAACAAAAACCATCAAATTTAAATACAGCAATGATGCAACTCAGAGAGGGAGACATACAGAAAGAGAAAATATAGTATCAGTAGGTTACTTTAAAAGTCAGTTTGCTTAGCTTTCTAAATATTAAAACACACATCATGACAAAAATTATCATTCTTAGGATGCATATCCAATTTCTTGCTCTTGTGTACATCATTCCATATTATTTTCAAGATCCCAGTACAGGCCTTAGCAAGCTGAAAGCGTGTGACTGTATTTCCCTCTGACACAGCTCAGGTCAAGGCAGCTACCATGTTTGTCTTCACTCATCACAGCTATCACAGCTCCTGCAATCTTTGACTCCTCCCTGTACTTCTCTCCCGACATACCTAGATCACGGAACAATTTTTCCTGCCGTTCATTTGGAAAGCAGAGAGTAGGGTGGTTCATGAGACTGATGTGGGAAAGAACAGAGTTTTACAGCATGCTCTCTGGATCGTCCTGCATTGTCCTTTAGGCAAAATTACTTCATATACATAAGCCAACCTAAGCCCAACATTACAGCCACTGTCTGTTTTGCTCACCTCTACTAAAAGAAGTTTGCAAACCAGATTAAAGTTAGTCACATGCTGTGCACTGATCCAACCCACCAAACCCTACTCATTGCTCACAACTCAAAAGTAGACCTGCTAGCATACTTCTGAGCCCAAACATGGCCACTGACCTCCATATGCATTTTCTCCTTGTATATCATCTAGAATCACTGGATCTCAAAAGGCAGACTCCATCATCAATGTTTCATACAGCATTCAGCACAATGATAAGGGTATAGCTTGCACTAATACAGCATGCCTTAGTATGATATATGAACACGATAATGTTCAACGAGACCATTTCAGAGAAACGTAGAGCTGCTCAAACACTTCATTAGCTATTCATTTGAGGTGAAGAGTTTAAATAATGCTGTGAATTGGAAGCATGGTAGTATATCATGCTGCCTTTGTACAATATAATTGTTTTGACTGCCTTATCTATAAATCAAATCCCTACAAACATATCTGTCCTTATAAGATACCAATTGTGACAAATTTGCATTTTAAGAAAGATTTTTGAACTATCAAAAGAAGCCTGAAATCCAAAATAAAGGCAACCAATTTTAAACGCGAAACACAAGTGTACCTAAAGGTTGCATACCCACAAAGTATTCTTCCAACTTTCACTGTCATGCTACGGCACTGCACTACTCTCTCAGGCAGCCTGAGTTTTGAAAATTTCTCCAAAAGCTCTGTTCATTAGGTACATATTACATGCAAAAAAACTATCAGGAATTTGTTAAATGTGTAAGTAGTTAAGCGTGTTCAAAAAAACATTTTAAAACAAGTTAGAGACCACGCAAAGACAAACTGGCAAGATAACGCCTTAAGATGAGGACATAAGGAAAAAGCATACCTTCGCAAACTTTGCATTTAAAAAGACTTACTGCAAGAAAACCAAGAAAACACAACCCCAAAACACACAAATAAAATACATACAATCAGAGAGTGAACTAAGGTCTGTGTCTTGTTCTACACCTTGAGGAAAGACAACAGCAATCCCAACATTAGTAACTCACATAATTCCATTACAACTGAATGGAAAAAACCACCACCAAAAGTTACTACATTTCTGTTTTTCCATGGAACTCTTGGAAGCAGATTGCAGGACACCATCAAACCCTAAAGCCAGGAGAACAAAAGTTCAAGACGTAATCTCATAAATCCTTACTACTCTTCGTAATTTCTTTGAATTACAGGAAACAAACCTGTATAAACCAATCGAAGTTGACACTAACTTGATGCCAACCTTACTCCATTGTTGTCTGCACTCCTTCCATCTACTTTGAGACAGCATGCACAGATGTCTGGACCCCCCTAGTGAAGCGATTCACCAAGTTGAACATAAAGAAAACTAAAATGTACCCCCAAAAAGTCATAAATACACAGTTTCCCGCATTACAGGCAGTGCTGGCATAATATAATGGGCAGAAACAATCCTAGGAGAGCAAGAAACAGGGCTGCAGCAGTGCTGAGGTCTGTTCCATAACAGTTTTGTCTCTGACCCTTTTATGATATATCCTTAGACCATAAAAAACAAAGAAGAAGGGATCTGTGAGCCTGAAATTTGAAGGAACTTCTACAAATTAGCATTTGACAACCTGTCTAGTACAGTAATGTAGTTAAAAATGACAGGATGCCATGGAGACCAGCATTGAACTGGGCCACAACAGTAGTGGCTCAGATCACCCTAAATTGTTTTATAAATATTAAAACTGCTCTCAGTATTTATTTCTTAATTTTACTTTTTTCACCTCATTACAAGTCTGGTTTATCACTACTCTAGGAGCTACTACAGAACTTTCATTTCTCCCCAAACTTTCATTACCGATGGGATTTTGATGCTACTATCACGAATATCCTTCTCCAGTCCAAATAAGTTTCTCTGGATGGAAAACTCATGCTCCAGTTTTCTCACAACAGAAAAAAAAAAAAAAAAAAAAATGCAGCAAATATCATCTGGTATCTGAAGCATTTCAAAAGCTCCTGAAGTTAGCCAACAGATCTCAGCATTCAGAAAGACTTAATCAATATTCAGAAATTTCTAAAATTACAGCCAGATTTTATGCAAGTCTCAGACTATACCTCATTTGACAATATCCGAGTGTATGAATGAATGGATTTTACTGCAGTGATAAGTCAGTACGATTCTGTTGTCTTCCTCAGTGATGTGGTACATATCTCACAAGGAGCTCAACTCTACCTCCAGAACAAGTAAACTTAGGAACACAGCACTTAAGAAGCATAATGTTACCTGGACAAGTTAGCTAGAAATTGAAAAAGCAAGATGTATGCTCATAGGAAGGCAAAATACCTCATGTGTTATTTAAAATATGCCACAAGTTTTAATGGCATGCATTTAAGGGCTATTGTTACACATTTCAAGCTATAAATGGTGTTACAGAAAATGACACAAGGGTCCACCTGAATACTACAGCTGGTAAAATTTGGCATGATCTTACCTCCCGGCAGGATTCAACTAAAATAAACTGCATGAAATAATGAAATTATGGTTCTGCATGATGCATTGAGAGCCAAAAGAATTCTTATTATATCACCTAGACTGACTGAAAAAAGGTTTCCACTTCTCTGCCAGCAAAATGTAATTCAGCAAGAGACTCACACATGATAGCTCTTTTGAAAAGGACAAAGGGCTCAAATAAAACCATCTGCTACAGCTCTAAAATGAAGAGATTGCCTTCCCATCCAGCATAGAGGCAGCTAACCTGCACATAATCTCAAAGCCACATTTGCAGTCCATTTTAGCTTAAGTAATGCTTTCTGCCATGTGTGCAATGAGGAAAATCACCTGCAGCAGAAGAGCAAGATTGACAGCTAGCATTGGTACCATTATAAAAACTGCTTCAGCTAAATCCACCAGACCTTATCTGTCAGCATCTTTTCTTCCCATCTCTCTTCCAGCAGTTAGCAGATGCAGTTCAAATTTGGCCAAAACATTTCCACTCACATCCTTGCATGGATATTTCCAGCTTAAAAAGACTAAAATTATCCTAAGAACTTCACAGATGACATAGATACCTCTCAAGTTGAGTGAAAAACATTAAATAAAAATAAAATTAATTCTTCCCTAAAACTAGGAGTATTAATATTGTCATCTCATTACCAATGTCAGCTAACTGTGACACTCTCCTGCCAAAAGGCTAGACAACATTCTTGCAGCAATATCTTGATTTTTTTTCTTTAAAGTTCATCTATAACTTAAACTATACACCCAAGACAGCCAAGTCACGACACCTTGAAATAAGTTTCATGAGATGTTGTTTCTCTTCAGCTCATCTGCTAACACTCTACAGAACCCTCTGGTTCACCTTCAGAGCTACTAGTGAAATGAGTCCCAATCTTAGGTCTCATCTATTCCTGAAGAATTTCAGATTTTACCTAGGAAATGAATACTAACTTCAAAAGAATTTTCTCCAAATATACTAAAGACTTAGAAGGACTCACTTCAATGGATATCCTAGTCTCCTTAAGACTCTTTTCAAGACCCCCAAAGTCAAAGTTCAAGTAGTCTAGCTCAAAGGAAATGCTGAGGCTAGATATCAAACTCTGAGGGAGTATCATATATTTCTAGAACATTCCTCCTAGAGATGACAACAAATTTACAACAATCTACAAAACCAATGATTCAGAAGTGCCTGTATGAAGGCCTCTTAAAAAACAAAGTACACTGGACCACAGCATGGGAAATCACAATTCAGTGTAAAGCTGAATACTAAGGAATGGTGACCCACAGCGATTACTAAGAATGCCAGCCCAGCACTTAGGTCACGGTTACCACAGCTGCAGCTGCCCCACGGGCTAGTCAAAAGTCCCCTCTTCTGTTACACCTTCTACAAGCATGAAAAGGGATACCTCTGCTCTTGCTTTCTTTGAACAATGATTCCTTGAGTACTACAAAAGTAGACTTTCAGGCAAAAGAGGAGGACCAGATTCCTGAATGTACATTTGATTGGTCTTTCCTGCTCTGGTTCTATAGTTAGATGGACAAACAAGTGCATATTTATTTGCAGAATTAGTCTCTATGACTTTGCAAAGAAAAAGACTGAACAATGGGGATTTAGAGGCCACTCCAAAAAAAGTTTCAATCTTCATTCTCACTAAGGCTTTTCTCTTGTAACTGGAGCCAGAATCTCTCAAGAAAAAAGATTAACGAGGGATTTGGGGTCCCTAAAAGTTTCACTCCACAGGACAGACCTATTGGCTTGAAAAACATTTTCCAATTGCCAGTGACTGACAAGACTTGTTTTTCACCCAATCTGCAAACTGTCTGAATGACTGCACTAATGGTCCAGAGTAGTGCAGAACAACAAAGAGCGTACTGTTTGCCACATATTGTTCATACAAAATAACAAAAATAGGATTTTAAATAGCAGCTTAAAAAATGCAACACCCTAGTACGTAATTGAACAGAAAAAATATAAAGCTATTGCACTCTTCCTTCTATAATTTAAAATTAAACAGCTTAATCTCTTTAATAACTTAAAATAAAGCAAAATAGTAGGTTTTTTTCAAACATTTAAAATGCAGTACAGTGGTTTGCTACCAAAAGAATATTTCTAAGAAGATATAATAAGAGACAGTCATTTTAAGTTACCTTCTGATACATCTCTAAAAATACTGTACGTTCAGCTCCGTAAAACATCTTTCTTCACTATGTGCACCACATTGCTTTTGATTCGGTTGTATCAACTTAGAAATTATTCCCAAGTCTCTAGCTTTAGAAACCAAGAGAGAAGATGACTAAAAATTAAGGGGGATGACATTCTGAAGTAA